TGCCAGCAATTATTTCTTCTTTCTTCCTCTCTTCGTTTCTTTTGGAATTACGCTCATGCTAGTGGATACTATGGCTTGCTTTTAACCCGCAGGAATCTATAAGGGGATGGGATGTCACTTCCATGATTAAAAATGACTCTCTTGTGGAGAGTGTCGGTTGGGTGGCTCAGTCGGTTAGGGGTCTGACTCTTGATTTCGGTTCAGGTCATGACCTCTGGGGTGTGAGACAGAGGCCCACGTTGGGCTCCACGTTCATCAAGGAGTCTGCTCAGAGATTCTCTCCTTGCTCTCTGCCCTCCCCCACCCCCACTTAAGTGTACGCTCCCTTTTCTCTCTCAAATTAAGTAAAATCTTGGGGCGCCTGGGTGGCTCAGTCGTTAACCATCTGCCTTCGGCTCAGGTCGTGATCCCAGGGTCCTGGGATTGAGCCCTGCACTGGGCTCCCTGCTCGCTGGGAAGCCTGCTTCTCCCTCTCCCACTCTCCCTGCTTGTGTTCCCTCTCGCCATGTCTCTGTCAAACAAATAAAATCTTTAAAACAAACAAAAAAGTAAAATCTTAAAATGCCTCTCTTGCTTGGAGACCCTCTCCCTTTCAAAAAAGCAAGCTGCCATGTTGTGGCTGCTCAGAATGGGCCTCTTGTTGACACCCAGAAAGTAGATAAATGCTGCTGACCATGTGAGTGTGGAAAGACCCTTCTCCAGAACAGCCCCAGATGAGACTCCTTGATTGCAGCCTGTGAGGGAAACATGGCTGAGCTGTGGCTTGACTCCTAGCCCTCAGAAACCACCATGAGATAATAAATGTGCCAATGATTCCCACGTGTCAGGAGGCCATGAGCTCTGGGAAGATGGGTTTCCTAGGAGCTGACACTGTTCTATTTCCTGACCCGCTGGACATGCAGGGTTTGCTTCTTATTCTCGGGACTCTCCTGTGCTCTCTTCTGTAGGGAGAGAGGCTGGGCCCAGCCAGGAGCCAACTGGTCTTGAGTCCCAGGCATGCTGGACCTTGGGAGAGGTCCAAAGGAGGTCCTGGCAGCCTCAGAAAAAGGCCTGGGACTATATAATACTGCACTGTATTATATATTATTATTACATAATTATATATGCAGTACCATATAATACTGCACTGCATATTACATAAATACACAGTATTCCATAGACAATAAATGTACTGTATTATATATTACATGTACAGTATTATATTTTATATACATTTGTATTATAGATTTATATGCATTTATTATATATATAATACTGCACCATATATTATTACATAATTATACATACAGTATTTCATATATAGTAACACCACACTGTGTTAGTTACATAATTACATATATGGTATTATATATACAATATGGTACTGTATTACATATTGTTACATTACTTATATGGTATTATATATATACACAATACTGCACTGGGTCACCTGGTTAAGTGTCTAAGCGTCTGACTCTTGGTTTCTGCTCAGGTCTTGATCTCAGGGTCATGAGATGGAGCCCCGTGTCGGGCTCCACACTCAGTGTGGAGTCTACTTGAGATTCTCTCCCTCTCCCTCTGCCCCTCCTGCTCATGCTCTCAAATAAATCAATCTTAAAAAAAAAATACTGCAGGGGCACCTGCGTGGCTCAGTAGGTTAAGCGTCTCCCTTTGGCTCAGGTCATGATCCCAGGGTCCTGGGATCGAGTCCTGCATCGGGCTCCCTGCTCAGTGTATATAGTCTGCTTCCCCTTCTCCCTCTGCCTCTCCCTGACTTGTGCTCTCTGTCTTGCGGTCTCAAATACATAAGATCTTAAAAAAATACTGCAGTGTTATATATTATTACATAATTACATCTATAGTATTATATAATACTGCATTGCATTATAATACCTAATTACATATACAGTATTATAAATACACAATAGTGTACTATGTATTAATTATACAGAATTTATATATACAGTAACATGGCACTGTATTACATACTACTTATATATATAGCACTATATATACAAGACTGCTTGTAATAACTTGTATTAGTTATATATGCAGTATTATATATACAATACTGTACCTTACTGTTACATTATTACATATACAGTAACACCATAGTGTGTATTTGAAAGCTGCTCAGAGTACAGCTTAGAAGTCCTCATCACCAGAAAATACTTTTTGATATAGATGTTAAGTAGACTTCTGGTGGTGATCATTTTGCAATATATACATGTGTTGAATCATTACATCGTACACCTGAAATTAATAGAACACCATTTGTCAATTATCTCTCCATAAAAATAAAAGGAAGGTGCTTGGGTCAGGCGAAGGGCTGAAGTCTTCTTCGCGAGCCCCTCACCACTGCTCCTCCCCTGGGCGTGAGGATGGATGGCAGGGGTGTCCCTTGCACAACCTCCTTGGGAGAGCAGTCCCAGCCGAGCCTCAGCAGGCTTAGCCCCAGGGAGGGAAAGAGAAGGGCAGGAACAAGGGGCCAGAAAGCACTAGAGAACTTCTGGTGCCCAGGAAATCTGCTAATCCCCAGGGATCCCTCAAGCCTTCCCGGTGAGCTCCTGTGTCACTCAGGGAGGGCTGGCACTCCTGTAGAACAGTCCTTCTCCTGCACGGACTGGGTCAGGGACCGTGGGCGCCCGGGAGACCTTGCACCTGTCCGTAAGTAGCCACCAGCTTTGTCACCTATCACCTATCATACAGCACGCAGGGCGATGTGGCACCACAGACTCGTGCCAGAGAATGCCCAGATTAAGCCCCTGTGGGGATGTGGGGTCAGTAGGGGAAGGGCTGTCTGAGGAGCTGGCATAGGGACTGTGCAGTGGACATAAAAGCAATTAATTGTGCCAGCAACTGAGGGTATGACTCCTCAATCCCCCTTTCCTAAGGCTAAGTATTCCCTTTGCCGTGTGCCCTGATGGCCAGAGCTGGGGGCGCTGCTTTAAGGACTCAGACAGCAGCTCACTTCACATCCCAGAAGAAATGCCATTTAGGGTTTGAAGCTGGCGCCCCGACTCCCATCACCCCCACCCCCAGTGACCCTACTCCAGCTCTTGGTGTCCTTCAGACCAAGAGCATCAGCAGCCCAGGGAGACTCACGTTTGTGGTACTGACACAGGCTACCGTGCAGATAAACCCTGAAAACCCTGCTTGGTTAACAAGAGCTAGTCACAGGTCACTTACTCTGTGCTCTCACTGACAACAGGTCCAGAGCTGACAAATCAACAGACACAGCAAGTAGATTAGCGGTTGTCTAGGGCTGGTGTCAGGGGGAGTGACTGCTAATGGGTACCCCGGCTTCCTTCGGGAGTGATGAAATGTTCTAAAACTATGCAGTGATCAACTACAGAGCATAACATCGTGCAGTTATTAAAAACCACTAAACTGGGGCGCCTGGGTGGCTCAGATAGTTAAGCGTCTGCCTTCGGCTCAGGTCATGATCCCAGGGTCCTGGGATCGAGTCCCGCATCGGGCTCTCTGCTCCTTGGGAGCCTGCTTCTCCCTCTGCCTCTGCCTCTCATGAATAAATAAATAAAATCTTTAAAAAAACAAAAAAACAAAAAAACAAAAACCACTAAACTGTACACTTTAAAGTAGTTAACATGTTGAATTTTATGTTTTAACTCAATCTAAAAAAATCTATACAGGGGCACCCAGGTGGCTCAGTTGTTAAGCATCGGGCTCCGTGGGGAGCCTGCTTCTCCCTCTCCCCTCCCTCTGCTAGTGTTCCCTCTCTCGCTGTGTCTGTCAAAAAAACAAAATCTTTAAAAAATCTGCCTACAATATAATAAAAGTACATTTTTGGGCCCCTCTCCAGAAAATCAGATGGGGAAATGGGGCAATAACCTGTTTTAAGTCCTCCCAAGTATTTCTGATGCCTGACTCAACTGTCCCAGTCTTTCCTAAGCAGGGCCACGGGCAGGTCCCAAACCCCACTGTGGCCACCATCCCAACTAGGTGAGAGTCCCTTCCAAAGCACTGTGGTGCACATCCCCTCTCCCACTTGCTCCAATCACAGCTGGGTACCACCTCACACAGGGCACTCCCAGCTCCCAGGCAAACCCAAGTGCCCCCCACTATCCTAGGGAGAATCTCCACATATCCACAGGACACAGTGGGTGTGTCCCTAAGGTTGGGCCCCCTGGGGATCCTATGGGCTCCCATGCAAGCTGCAGGGCCAGCATAGTCCCTCCAGCTCTCCCTTCACCAGCCTGTAGTTCTGGGCCTGGCTAGAGACCCCGTTTTGAGCCTGGAAGGTGGCCCCAGAAATCCCACCCACTGTGGCCAAAGGACCCCTCCCTCCAGGGCAGCTGGGGGCCTCTATGCACTTAGGAGATGCCACAGTCTACGCTACATGCTAGTTAAGATGTCCTCCTCTACTGGAGAAACAAGGTGTGTGTGTATGTGGTGGTGGTGGTGGGGGGGGGAACCTCAAGAGCCTGACTCCACCATGATCTTAGAGCCCTGGAGGATCTACACCTGTTGGCCTGACCCACCCAAATCTCAGGGATTGCAACTGCCTCCTGACCTGCGTCCCTGCTTCTCTCTATATAAACAAATATTTCCCACATTTTCATATTCTTCAAGAGGACTCAGGGTGGCGTGGTGACCTCTCTGCCCCCAGCCCCCTTATGATTTATGGGTGACTTCCTCTAGGCACCCTCCACATCCCCGTCTGGGAACTCTCCTCTGCTGGAACCCAACTAGGGTGAGCTATGGGGTCCTCGGAGTGTTGTGCATGGCCTCCGTCCATCTGACCTCCTCCTCTCCACCCACCCAGGACCATGTGTCCACTACACTCCTACACACAGGAAAATGGGCAGTACTTGAAACCCATGAGGCTCAGAGGTCTGGGGTGCACCAGGGACAGGTGGGTGCCTCTAGCAACAAGGTTGGAAGAGCCAAGCACAAGAGCTTAAGACCACCTGCTCCTAGACCGAGTGAGGAAAACCCAGGTGTGGGGGGAGCATGTGCAGCTTCCAGGCATCCTACAACTGTCTCAAACTCAGCCTTACCTTTGTGGCTGACACCTCATTACTACTCCTAAGTCCAGGGATGTCTTCACTCTGCCTTTTCAAAACCACTCCTCCATGGATGGTGGTGATGGCTGCACAACACATGAACACACTTAATAATGGTTGAAATGGTAAGTTTTGTGTATTTTACTAGTTTTTTTCTTTTTTTTAAAAGTCCACCCCTCCAGGAGATGAGGGATGGAGGCGGGAGGTCCTTCTGTCATCCTGGCTCTGAGCTGCGCACCCTCATGCTGCCTGACCTGGGGTGTGTTCTGCCTGCTTCAGCCCAGGCAGCCAAACAGTCATGCACCCACAATCCCAGGCCTCATCCCCCTTTGCCCCTCCCCTCCTTAGGACCACCCTTAACCCATTCATGGCTTTGCACCAACCTGCGTCTACTTCCCAAACCCTAGAGGACACACCTCTACTCAACGAGCTTGGGGTCTACTCTACCTACCAAGCAGGTATCCTTCCCCCAAGAAGTGAAGAGAAGAGATCCCTGTTACCTTTTTCAGAAGGGCTCATTTTGGTCTCTTAGTAAAATGTGACAGAATAGCTGAGAGCATGGGTACCACCACCAGGCTCTCTTGAGTATGCATCAAACTACAACCTGACCCAAATCAGCATCTCCCGCCTCTGAGGACCTTGTGGCTGTCATGTGGATGTTGTCCAAAGGCCCGTCTTTGTTCTTAAGTAACTCCCAAAGGGGAAGCTGCAGTGTTGTTCACTGGAGCCAGGCTGAGGCTGCGCTAACAGCAGACTAGATGGGCAGCCCTTCCTAAAGAAGTGGACGTGGAATGGGGCACCTCCCTCCTCCCCAGCGGAGCCTGCTGTGGTCTACACCAAGGGGTGGAGCTGTGCAGCCCAGCGAGCAGACAGCACATTGCACGCCAGATGGTCAGGGCAGGGCAGCAGGCATTTCAGATGCCAACAGTCAAAGGGAGTCTAACATTAAGTCACAATTTCTGAGGGTGAGCTTGCTCACCAAGAACATCCAGTGTGCCACCCACTGTGGGAGGCCACGGTGAAGTCTCTAGAGCACAGCGGGACAGCAGAGACCCCACCGCAGCAGTAAGGAGGCCGTCTGTCAGATTTATTTATTCCTACTCAACAGAACCCCAGAACACAGGAGCAACTCTGTACATCGCTAGAAACTCACAGCGAGCTCCAAAACAATAGAAATTGTAAACTACAAAAGATGAGTTGTATTCAGCAAATATAAAGGGTAACTTTAGGCTGTGTTGAATGTTTATCAGACTATTTACAGGCCCGGATGTAGGTTCAGATCTCTCCAGCCTCCTTTTCCTCCGACCTCCGCGAAGTTGTCTTCCCATTGGAGCTCTCCAGCCTCCAGTCAGCAGCCCCTCGCTCACTGCGCCCATGCTCCCAGGCCTCCTCCCTCGGTGCCCGTTCTCTGGAGAACCTGGGAAATGAGAATCAGAGGCTCAGAGGAGGCCAGCATCCCTCTTCTGGCTGACTCCTTGAGCACCGGCAACTTGGACCCTCAACATGAGCTCAGGGAAGACCAAAACACAGCACGCCCAGGGAAGCCCTCGGCAGGCAGAGGGCAGCCGTCTAGTGCCCAAGCCACTACAAGGGAGTGTTCAAGCAGCTACTCAAAAGTGACATTTGTAAAGATTTCTCCCAACAGGGTAGGATTTTGCTGTAACGTGAACGAAGCAAAGGACCACAAAGTGTACATGTGGAGTATGATCCATTACATAAACACAGTGGAAAAAAGGCTATAAATCAAGCACACAAGGGTGCTCACAGAGCTTACCTCAAAGGGTGAGTATGAATGTTTTTTGGGTTGTTTTTCCTTAAGAAAACCACAACAGAGGTAAGCAGGGCCTGGTTAGGAAGCAAATCTCAGGGACTCTGTACTGAGGGGACACTGAGCATGTGGCAGGTCACGAGGGAGTTATGCCCGTGTAACCACCTCCACAGCCTCTCAACTGTCCCAGCCCTGAATCCACCTGCTGCTCGAGCTTACAGCTCCCTATGCGCTGGGCCCCATTCATGACTCCTCAAGGCTCCAACACTGTTCCAGAGATGCCCAGCCAGGCTCCTGAACAAAAGCCCCAGACCCATCCCGACCAGGCATGGCCAACAGGCCCCAACGATAGACCCCCAGAAGACCCTGGGAACACAAAGAGAAGGGGCTCACTCCTGGTTGCAGCTACTGAAGGAGTCAGAGTAGTTACTTGTATTTCGCACTCCGGTCCCTGGAAGCCCGGCGGTGGCCCCGGCTGTGGCTGCGGGAACGGCTGCGGTGGCGCCGGTGTCTGTCTCGGGACCGGGATCGGGACGACTTTCGTCGCTCCCTGGAGGTAGATCTGGACCTCCTGCGACGCCGATCCCGGGAGCGTGACCTGCAGCAGACAACCAGAAGGCTTTGAAGGCCATGATGCCCCCTGCCAATAGCCCTTCTCTCGCAAGAAGTTCTGCTGGATGGTTCACTGGCATCTCCCCTTCCCTTCTACAAATTTACAACTGGGGTCCACAACAGTCCCATCAATTCAGAATTATGGCCCCATCCCAATGATGCTTCCGGAAAACACCTCGCCAGGAAACACCTACCACCCCACAGGCCTCAGCAGTACCTTCTGACTTCCCCTCTCATTTACAATGGATCCCACTGCTGCACTAAGCCCCAACCAACCTGACAACAGATGGATAGGGCCCGAGCTTGGTCCCTCACCAGCCCTGCCCACCAGATAACAAGTGTGAAGCTATAAAAGATAACTATAAGGAAAAATTCATGTGGAGGGGTGCCTGCAGGGCTCAGTCAGTTAAGTGACTCTTGGTTTCGGCTCACGTTGTGATCTCAGGGTCATGAGATCGAGGTCCACGTCAGGCTGCACACACAGGGCAGTGTCTGCTTGGGACTCTCTCCCTCTCCCTTTGCTCCCCACTGCTGCACGCGCATGCATGCATACACACTCTCTCTCAAATAAGTAAATCTTAAAAAAGAAAAAATATGGGGGGAGAAAAAAGACAAAAAATGTGTGTGTGGGGGGAAGGGCATCTGAGAATATGTTAATGGATCTGGAAACCTACCTCCTTCGATCTCTGGTTCTTGATCCAGACCTAAAATGAAAAAGAGAAAAAAAGGATGGGCAATTTCCCCCAAACAGCCCACGCCACAGTCTACAAGGTGAAGCAGTGCTGACTTCCCACCGAGTCGGCTCACCCATTCTCAGGCCCACAGCTCCAGGTGTCAATACTCACAGCATGAGGCCAGCCCCCAACCCCCAGGGGTCAAATGCTACACTCTGAGTTCAACAACTGGCTCGTCAAAGTCACTTGCACAGCTATGCAGACTGTCACACAGCAGATGCAAGGCTGGACGGGATCTAAAGTCACCAAAGGACACCAAAGTTAAAGCAAAGCCAAAGCCTCAAGTTCCAGACACAGGTTCACTGCTAGGTGAGGGTCACATGACCTCCTTGGAAACTATATAATCAACCAGCAATCCAAGAAATACACAATACAATGAGTTCTCATTTTATACCCTGTTCTACAGCAAAAATTAACAAGATCACTAGCAAAATGTGCTGAGGGGGATGTGACAGAAGATGTTCACACAACATGCATCTAAAGGATGATCTGATAGTTTTTTGTAAAGCAATTTTTCCAACACCTATTAATATTTATATATTAAATTCCTTTGTCCTAGGAATTCTAAGAAATTTTATAAACCAATCAAACATCAAAGTAAGGATGATCACTACAGTACCCATTCAAAAATAGTTTTACAGAGCCACCTGGGTGGCTCAGTCGGTTAAGCTTCTGACTCTTGATTTCGGTTCAGGTCATGATCTCAGGGTCCTAGGATGGAGCCCTGCATGAGGCTCCACTCTGGGCGGTGTGCTTGAGGATTTCTTTCCCTTTGCCCCCCACCCCACGCTCTCTCTCTCTCAAATAAATAAATCTTTAAAAAACAAAATAGGGGTGCCTGGGTGGTTCAGTGAGTTGGGCATCTGCCTTCAGCTTGGGTCATGATCCCAGGGTCCTTGGATCAGGCCCCACATCGGGCTCCCTGCTTAGTGGAGAGCCTGCTTCTCCCTCTCCTGCTCCCCCTGCGTGTACTCTCTGTCAAATAAAGAATAAAATCTTGGGGCGCCTGGGTGGCTCAGTTGTTAAGCATCTGCCTTCGGCTCAGGTCATGACCCCAGGGTCCTGGGATCGAGCCCCGCATCGGGCACCTGCTCAGCGGGAAGCCTGCTTCTCCCTCTCCCACTCCCCCTGCTTGTGTTCCCTCTCTCGCTGTCTCTCTGTCAAATAAATAAATAAAATCTTTAAAAAAAAAAAAAAAAAAGAATAAAATCTTAAAATAAAACCCCAAAATTGGGGCACCTGGGTGGCTCAGATGGTTAAGAGTCTGCCTTTGGCTCAGGTCATGATCTCAGAATCCTGGGATTGAGCATCAGGCTCCCAGCTCAATGAGGAGTCTGCTTCTCCCTCTGCCCCTCCCCCTGCTCATGCTCTCACGCTCTCTTGCTCTTTAAAATAAATAAAATCTTTATTATTTTTAAAAGATTTTATTTATTTGTCAGAGAGAAAGATAGAGAGAATGTGTATGTATGCATGCACAAACAGGGGGAGTGGCAGGCAGAGGGAGAAGCAGGCTCCCCGCTGATCCAGGAGCCCAATGTGGGACTCAATCCCAGAACCCTGGGATCACAACCCGAGCTGAAGGCAGACGCTTAACTGACTGAGCCACCCAGGTGTCCCATAAGTAAAATCTTAAAAACAAAACAAAACCCACAAAAAACAAAAATAGCTTTATAGAAACTTCGTCATCAAAAACTGAAATCAGGGATGCCTTATGTGTTTTGCTTAATACATTTTTATACTGTTTGAATCTGTTTTGTTTTTGTTTGAGTCTCTTTACAATCAAAATGTGTTAGGTAATTAAAGTAATGAAGAGAAACACAATAAATACAATAAACACTTACTTGTTGTTTCTGAACTATACATTAATTCCTCCAGGAAAGCCCAGCTTCTGGGCCTTTCAAGGACAGTGAGCTGCATCCCATGACAGTGGGGTCCTGGCTCCAGCCTTTTCCCTGAACTCTGACCACATGTCTCCTAAGCATCTCAAACGGAGTACGGCCAGAGCCAAATCCTACTGCCCACCAACCCCTCTTCACCCTAGTACACTGCTCCCAGTGTTCTCCATCCCCTAAGTGGCAGCTCCAGGCCTGAAATCATGAGGCCAGCTCTGTTCCCCCTTTGCTTGCCTCACAACCTTGTACCAGCGAATCTTAACAGCTCTACCCCCACAACACACCAAGACCCCGCTCACCCTGTCAACTGGCACCTCCTTCACTGGGACTCTTGCTGCTTCCACCCTTACCACCTACACTCGTTCTCAGCAGGGCCTGACAACACTCAGTCAACTTCAGAGTCTGCTCAGGCCTAAGGCCTTTCCCTGACGGATTTTCCCTTCAACGTATGGCTGTGTGACAAAGCATGCCCCAGCTCCAGAGTGTCAGCTCCTGCCCGACTTGTTGGCTGAGCGCCGTGTCCCCAGGACCCACGAGGCGGGTCAGGGCAGAGCAGGTTCCTCTCCTGCTCCTACTGCTCAGCCCTCCCCTACACCTTCCGAGGTACGAGTGAGGTCGCCACAGCTGCGTGTGCAGCTCCGGACGACTGTCTGCACCACACAGCGCTCCTCCCAGGCCAGCCAAAACCCCGCTCTTCTGAACAGGCTGCATGTTTGCTCATTTTTCTTTTAAGGGCCACGTAGGTCCGCAGCAGACCTCAATTGCTACAAGCCAGACTGCAAGGAAGGAGCAGGGTCTCCTTGGGCATGTGTGTACTGTGGGACTCACCTCCTGCTCAGTCGCTCCTCCCGCTCTCTCTCCTCTCTCCTCCTCAGTCGATCCTGATTTCTCTTCTCCTGCTTTTCAGCCACAGTTTTCTAAACAAACAAAAAGTTGAAAAATAAGAGAAGAAAAACTTATACCAACAAGAGTATGAATGTTGTTTAACAAAGCACTTTTATGGGGCCCCTGGGTGGCTCAGTCATTAAGCGTCTGCCTTCGGCTCAGGTCATGATCCCAGGGTCCTGGGATCAAGCCCCGCATCAGGCTCCCTGCTCTGCGGGAAGCCTGCTTCTCCTTCTCCCCCTTCCTGTGTTCCCTCTCTAGCTATCTCTGTCAAATAAATAAATAAAATCTTAAAAAAAAAAAAAAAGCACTTTCACATGATCTCAGTATTAAGAATTTAGAAATCTAAAAAAAACTCTTAGGAAACAAGAACATAATCACCTTTAAAGCTTCTTAATGGAAAATACACGAAAGTAACGCTTTTACAAATACATCTTATAAATTCATTGACAAACTGTATATTCTAAGAGGTGCTATGGTTCTAAGGCACAGAAATTGATCTTTCGCTTCACACCAATCCAGATAGTTTTCTACCCAAAGGAGATTCCACACACTTTACTGTAAAAAAAACCACATGTATGACCAAACCTATCCTGCTGCCCAGGAGCAGCCTGTTCTTGGGAGTGCTGAGTGCTACACTGGCTTGAGACCCGGCCTCGGTGGGGACAGCAGGCCAGGGAAGGTAGACCGTGAACACTCCACAACCGGCTGGCTTTCTTGTTTGCTTGCTTTCTTTAGTATTTTAAGTAATCTCTACACCCATCATGGGGCTGAAACTTACAGCCCCAAGATCAAGAGTCACATGCTCTACCCACTGTGCCAGCCAGGGGCACCCACAACTGGCTTTCAACACCAAGCTCAATACTTGGCTTAACAGGCTCGATGGTGAACACAACAGAAAAGACAATGCAACAGAGCGGAGGAGGTCCGGAGAAACTCCACTGTGGAACACTACTGACACAACTTAGCTCAAAGCACTAGGTCCGGTCTACATACTCCCACCCCATATCAACCCAAAGCCTTTTTTTTTTTAAAGATTTTATTTCTCTGACAGAGAGAGAGGGAACACAAGCAGGGAGAGTGGGAGAGGGAGAAGCAGGCTTCCCGCCAAGCAGGGAGCCCAATGTGGGACTCGACCCCAGGACTCTGGGATCATGACCTGAGCTGAAGGCAGACACTTATCATCTGAGCCACCCAGGCACCCCTCAACCCAAAGCCTTTTGATGTCTGCACCTCTCTGCTGATGGAATGAAGCCCTAAGGGGGAGTACAGTAGGTCCAGGGAGACAAAGGGTCACCAGTCTACCATGAAGGATAACCCTGTATCTCAGTGCAAACTGGAGCCAGGTCCCTGAACAAAAGGGTATAGCAAGGACTGAGGGAGAGGGGCCAGCTATCCTCCTCAAAGCACTCACAAGGTGTGAGAGCCCTCCTGTCTGGAGCCTCTGGTTCTCCACCCCTGGCTTCACTTGTCCTGGATCTGAGCAGGCACACAAGGATGGACACATTAAGGTTAAGGATGGGAGTTTCAGCCCCTCAATTTACATGCAGACTCTTCGTAAAGAGAATGTGACCGAGCACAGGGCTATGGTCTGGTATTAACTCCTTTGCAAACCTCTCTACTTCCTAGACACTGTCCTTCCACCCCTAAGAAAGAAGGCTTTGCCTCACTATTACCTGGGTGTGTGGCCTGGTGGTATGAGCACCTCTGGGACAACTGTAAGTGAAGCCATCTCTGATTAGGACCCAGAACTCTCACCCTCCTGATTGTTTAGAGGTGCACTTCCAAACATGTTTTCAGTTGTTAGTTTAATAGCCATTATCAAAAGCTGTAATATATTTGTGTTGTTTTAGTCAACTTCGTACAACTCACACTGCAAAGATAAAGCATGCTTTCTCGATCTAGTTAATACTAATTTCTTTAAAGGCGTGCCTGACTAGCTCAGCCAGTACAGCATGTGGCTCTTGATCTTGGGGTTTTAAGTTTGAGTCCCATGTTGCGTGTAAAGATTACTGAAAAATAAAACCTTAAAAAAACCAAAAACTTGTTCTTAAGATTTCAGGGGAAAAAATTTCAATATAGTCTCATCTCTGTTGGAGAAATATGTGTTAAAAAAATAAAAGGCTTTCAGGTATAAAAAAAATATCAAAACTAGGGGCACCTGGGTGGCTCAGTCTTTGGCTCAGGTCATGGTCTCAGGGTCCTGGGATCGAGCCCCGCATCAGGCTCCCTGCTCAGCAGGAAGCCTGCTTCTCCCTCTCCCACTCCCCCTGCTTGTGTTTCCCCTCTTGCTTTGTCTGTCAAATAAATAAAATCTTAAAAAAAAAACCCAAAACTAAATTATGGGGTGCTATGAAATGGAAATACAATTTAAAGGAGAAATGGAAGGGGCGCCTAGGTGGTTCAGTTCATTAAGCATCTGACTCTGGCTCAGGTCATGATCTCTGGGCTCTGTGCTCAGTGGAGAGTTTACTTGGGGATTCTCTCTCCCCCTCTACCCCTCCCCCTGCTCACGCACATGCTCCTTCTCTCAAATAAATAAATCTTAAAAAAAAAAAAAAGAAGAAGAAGAAGATATGCGTAACAGTGTATCACTTCCCAAAATTCTATTGGGAGCACAGGAGCAAACTGTGTTAAGACCAGTGGCTGCCACCCCAGCTCCACTCCCAGTGCCAAGTTCACACCTCACCTACTGGCAACCTCTCCTCACGTGCAGGGCTCTGCCCCCTGCTCCTTCTAGGGGCACACAAGGCCCTCCATCTTGATTGCTGCAGTGTCCCAGTCAAGTGCCATGCGTCTTTCCACCAAATGTCTGGAGGGAAGACCTGCATAGTTCCCAGCACCCCATCCTAGTGGCCCCTATACAGAGCAGGGAGGACTCCACCAGTCTGAAAAATAATTCAAAGTATCTGAAACATGCTCACCCATCCTTCTAAGTGGACCCAAGATAAGTTTTAGAGTCTAACCCAGGAAACTGAGGAGCCTTGAGGAAGAGACAAAGGTGGGCAGTGGTGAAGCAGTGCTATCCAAAAAACTCCACCATGTTCTCGTCCTTCCGAGGAGGCTCAAAGGCAAGGGCCAGGAAGTGTGATCTTCTGTCTAGCCTAACCACTCTCCATGCATCCGCCTCTGCCAAAGGAGAAAAACGAGACTACCGGCTCTTCCCATCTCCAACCAAAAGTTATCTCCGAGGTGTGTGAGAGCTCTCTGTACCAGAGGACTAGACTCTGCGTTTTTTTCCTGCAAACAAGTGTAGACTAGTCGCTTTGGATTCTGAGGCCTTTGTTCTCCTGGGTGAATGAAGTGATAAAATCTGAATATTTCACAATAAAACTCAAAGACATGTTCTTAGAAAAGATCAAAACAGCAGTGCCTGGGTGGCTCAGTCAGTTAAGTGTCTAAAGTCGCGTCATGGTCTCAGGGTCCTGGGAGCGAGCCCCACGTCAGGCTCCCTTGCTCAGCGGGGAGTGTGCTTGTCCTTCTGCCCCGCCCCCATTTGTGGACACTCTCTCTCAAGTAAATAAAATCTTAAAAAAAGAAAAGAAAAGATCAAAACACAAGGTTTTCTAGAAGTTAATACAAAGACATCACAAGACTTCTTGGGTTTCTCCAGAAACAACATATTAACATACCCTCAACTGATCAAGCTTCTCCCGGATCTGAATGAACCCCAAGTGTAACTTGCCCCCGAAGTGGTCCGCAAGACGACGGTCATTGTCGTGGAGACCAAGGTAGGCCGAACAGACCTCACAGACACGCAGCTTCTGTTGTTGAAAACTGGATGCGGGCATGGAATTTCTGTATTCTTCCTGGACAGTGGGAACAGAGCAATGAAAATGAGGTCCACAGAACCACAACTAAATATTCAACCCCCAAAATGGAAATATTTGAAGGGACTATAGAGGTGACTTTTAAATAAACAAAAAATGGATCATTTACAAACTTCAGATATTTGTAACTGACTCTATTTCCATCGTTTATTTACGAAATGAACAATCATGATTTCAAAGCAATAAGGAACATTCAAAATTCTCAGACAAGCAGGATGCTGTCTGTTCTCAGAGGCCAGCAGGGAAGGCAGGTCTCAGTTACATGCAGTGGAGAGCTCTAGGAGGACCAGAGGAACAAGGGAGACTCTTCAAAAGGGGCCCTCAAAAACACAAAGCACAAAAACCAAACCAAATAAACAGACAAAACACACAAGAGCCACTCATGGAGACTGTGTTCCAACATCCAGGAAGCTGTATGCCAACTCTGCCCTAAAAGCTAAAATTTGGACACACAAATACATTAGACACTCTCTTCAAAAAAGAATGTGTCCGACAGAACGAGCAAAACACACCCCCTCCGGCAGCCACTCCAGTCAGAATGGATGAAATACAGAAGAAATGAAGTAATAAGACATGGTTCCTGGTGCTGGTGCCAAAGTCAAAACAGGTCTCTAAAACCCAGATTTAAGAAATGCATTCCAGGGGGTGCCTGGGTGACTCAGACATTAATGTTAAACACCTGTCTTCAGCTCAGGTCATGATCTCCAGGTCCTAGGATCGAGCCCCACATCAGGCTCCAGGCTGCCTCAGTGGGGAGTCTGCTTCTCCCTCTCGCTCTGCCTCTCCCTGTGCTTGGGCTCTGTCTCTCTCTCAAATGAAAAAAAAAAAAAAAAGAAAAATGCATTCCAACAGTCACTGGTCCTTATTTAAAGGGATCTTCCATGGGACACCTGGGTGGCTCAGTTGGTTAACCATCTGCCTTCGGTTCAGGTCATGATCTTGGGGTCCTGGGATCGAGTCTGGCATTGGGCTCCTTGCTCAGTTGGGAGCCTGCTTCTCCCTCTGCCTGCCGCTCCCCCTGCTTGTGTGCGTGCCCTCTCTCTCTGACAAATAAATAAAATCTTTTAAAAAATTTTAAAAAGGAGAGCCTGGGTAACTCAGTTGGTTAAGCGTCTGCCGTTGGCTCGGGTCATGATCCCAGACTTCCAGGATCGAGCCCTACATCGGGGTCCCCGCTCAGCAGGGGGGTCTGCTTCTCCCTCTGCCCTTCACCCCCCTGTGCACACTCTATCTCAAATAAATAAAATCTTTTTAAAAAATTTAAAAAAATAAAGGGGTATTCCATTAATTCATTCAAAATTCCCTAGCAAATGCAGATTAAGATACCACATGACTCACTAAACTGGCAAAGACATAAACAAAGATGCACTCTCACACACTGCTAGTAGGAGACTAGGTACGTTGGCGCAACCCACAGGGAGTGCAACTGAATTATCTGTGAAAGCCAGACAGGTGTGTGCCATTTCCAGGAACGTGTCCTAGAACATGCTCATACATGTGCCAGCAAGGAAGTGCAAGGACACTTGTGTGAACGGTCTGTGAAGATGAGAAACCACTAATGCCCTAGAAAACCACCAACAGATAGTCACATGTTCATGAAACAGAACCCTACAGCAAGAAACTGAAGGAAGTTGTATATAGCAACAAGGAGAGACCTCACAAACAGTGGTGAGTGAATAATGCAAGCGAGAAAGACATACACAGCATTTATGGGAGATTTTTTTAAAAGCACAAAGTGCTCACGTGCACAAACACACGCAAGCACACAGTTTACGGGCAGCACACACATGTAATAAAGGGTAAAGACAGAACAGAATGCACACTAATGTCTACATTAGTGACAGGAGGGACAGGAGGAGGCTGGAGAGGGAAGCACTGGGAACCTGAATTTCCATTATGATGTGCTACAGCTTTTATTAAAGAGAAAAAACAATAGAATCTTTAAAAAAAAAAAGGGGGGGGGGGAGGGGCGCGCCTGGGTGGCTCAGTTGGTTGGGCGGCTGCCTTCGGCTCAGGTCATGATCCTGGAGTCCCAGGATCGAGTCCCGCATCGGGCTCCCTGCTCGGCAGGGAGTCTGCTTCTCCCTCTGATCCTCCCCCCTCTCATGTGCTCTCTGTCTCTCATTCTCTCTGTCTCAAATAAATAAATAAAATCTTAAAAAAAATTTACTTTCAATTTCATTATTGCTAGTAAGCAGAAATATACATGATCTTTTAATGTATTGATCTTGTGTTCAGAAACCTAAGTTCATGTATTAGTTCTAATCAATTGTGGATTCTTTGGATTTTCAATGTATACCATCATGTCAACTGTGAATAGGGACAGTTTTTTTTTCCTTTTCCAATCCTGATACCTTTTATTCTTTCATTTTCCCTATTGCACTAGCACCTAATTAAAAAATGAAACAGGGCACCTGGGTGGCTCAGTTGGTTAACTGACTGCCTTCGGCTCAAGTCATGATCCCGGGGTCCTGGGATCGAGTCCCACATCAGGCTCCCCCTACTCTGCAGGGAGCCTGCTTCTCCCTCTCCCTCGGCCTGCCACTCTCCCTGCTTGTACTCTCTCTGTCAAGTAAAAAAAATAAAAAAATAAAAAATAAAAAATGAAACAAAACATCAACCAGAAAAGGTTACTCCTAGGGCGCCTGGGTGGCTCAGTTGGTTGGGCGGCTGCCTTCGGCTCAGGTCATGATCCTGGAGTCCCAGGATCGAGTCTCACATCGGGCTCCCTGCTCGGCAGGGAGTCTGCTTCTCCCTCTGATCCTCCCCCTCTCATGCTCTCTGTCTCCCATTCTCTCTCTCAGATAAATAAAATCTTAAAAAAAAAAAAAAACAAAGAGAAAAAACAAAACCAAAATCCTTAGGCAAAAATGACAAATATAGTGGACCCATAAATATTTGTGATATTCTATCCCTTTCTGTAATTTTGAAACTACCACCCTCTAATTTCTTTCAAAATAAACTCTAATTATGCTGAGTGGGAAAAAACAAAACAAAACACAACAGTCTCAAAAGGGTACGTACTGTATGACTCCATTTACATAACATTCTTAAAATGACCAGAATATAGAGATGCAGGAGATTCGTAGTTGCCAGGGGCAGAGAAGTGGATGTGGCTACAGAAGGGTCATGGGAGGGATCTTGGTGGTGATGGATATTCCGTATCGTGACTGTCAACATCCTTTCTATTATATTGTGCTATGGTTTTTCAAGATGTTATCACCACGGGAAACTGGATAAAGGGCACATGGGATCTCTCTCTATTATTCCTTGAGACTACTGAACATTCATGCCTGCTGAGAGCGGAAAGGAACTCACAGGTGCCACACCACCAGAGATCAGCCTGGCGGAGGCCTCCCCAACACCATCCTGTCTTGCCCAGCGGTTTTAAGGAGGTGGTGCTGCCTCCTGGGGGCACTCTCAGTGATGGGGATGGAGGACAATGGCTGGGGTAAGGATGCTACAGGTCCTGGATATGAACACCCATGCATCCCACATCCTGCTCCTGTCTGGGCTGTCTAAAGACATCCACATGATGAACCCCTCATCTACAATCATTTACACCCCCATACAAATCTCTGAGCCATCCCAGGGATTTCTGGTGTCTGTTCTGCTCTTGGAAGCATGAAGGGCTGGGCCTCAGGGTGCACCAAGAAGCCACAGAGCTTCCCTCCTGACTCTCTGGCCTTTCTGGTACAGCAGTCAGCAACCCAAGGAGCCCGACTCTGTTCTACATATAAACATGTATTTTCCACTTCAGTAAAAAGGAGTTTAGATTCTATGTTAAGGATTTATATACATGATTTATGTAAGACTTCATCTCTACCCAGGCTCCCTGACCCCACCACCCTAATAACTTTCTCAGCCTGTGGGTCTCAGCTAAGGGCACTTCCAGGATCACTCCACCTGGAGACCCCTGGCAACACAAAGTCACTCTCAAACTCAGACCCCATTTCTTTTGAGCACCTATCTTCATGTGAATCAATCTTATCCATCTGTTCACATACCCTTCTGTCTGTATCCCCTGCCAACTCCAGCACGGTCTCCATGAGGAGGGCCTCCTCTGGTGTGCTCACAGCTAAAAACTATCTGGGGCGCCTGGCTGGCTCAGTCGGTTAAGCATCTGCCTTTGGCTCAGGTCATGGTCCCAGGGTCCTGGGACTGAGCCCCGTGTTGGGCTCCCTGTTCGGCAGGAAGTCTGCTTTTTCCTCTCCCTCTGCCTTCCCCCACCTACTCATGCTCTCTCTTGCTCTGCTCTCTCAAATAAATAAAATCTTTAAAAAGAAAAAAAAAAACAACAACTAAAAACTATCTGGCACACAGCTGGAGCTTAACAAGCATTTACTCCGGGAATACAACCATCCCCGCCTCCCTCTGACTCTACTGTTCCCACCATTCTCAAAGCCTATGTGAGCCATTTCCAGTTCCAGTGGTAAGGACTTGAGAGCCAGAGCATATCTAATGGATAAAATAGTCTGGAAGAAAATGCCTGTCAACGATACAAACACTGAGTCCCTGACTCAGTTTCTCCACCACCCTGCCAGTGTGTCCTGGCCTGGTACCCTAGCTGACACCACTTGGATGCTACCCTCAATCTGCATAGGTTCTCTACCAGAGATGCAGTGTCACCAAGAACACGCAGGTTTTGTTCTTTAGGGCAATCTGCACTACCACTCTGGCCCACTCACACCAGTTGAGTGACCACCACAGCGCAGCAAACCCCTACAGAGCCAAAGGACCAGAGAGTAAACGACACCACTCTGGTGACTCTTCAACGCTCAGGACTGTGCTCTGCATATGGATGTTATGCTCAGGGCTGGCAAGTGACGGGCCTGATGTCACACCAGGGTTACAGGGGACACAGCAAAGGCACAAACCCAAGTACGTGCACACTCTAAATCCTACAACCCTGTCCACATAGCACCCTATTTCCAACTTCTTCCCAATATTCAAAAAAAGGAATACTTTAATTTTAGCCCAAACAGTCAACATTTAGGGGTTACTACATTTCCTCTTTCTTGAAGACATTTTCCCACCAACCTCAGCTTCTTTTTTCTTTGCACGGACTTTCTCCACTTCCATAAGAATCTTCTGGGATTCATCCACATTTCCCTCAGCTCCCAGTTGCTCAGCTTTAGCAAGAAGTTTTCCTATTTCTTCATTCAACTCATGTACTTTTTCTGCCTGAAAGAAGACAACAATCAGGTAAGCAAACATCTAAAAGCAAAAGATCTTAACAGAGACAATGAGTGTTTCTCCTGCTGTACTTCTGCTCTGTTCTACAAAAATTAAATGGAATAGCCAAGATCCTTGCAGGATCACAAGCAAACTGTAACAATTCTGACATCTTTACTGGCATCGCTGAGATTCTGACCTTAAACTAAACCTGCGTGTTGCATTCCAGTAAAAGCAGCATCATGCCTGTCACTTCCAACATGTGGCCAGGGTCATCATGGTCACTTTCTAAGCTGTCTCTTCTCATGTCTTCTATCACAACTCAACCTTCTGGGTAGGGGCCATAAATTGTCCAGGATTAAATGCATAAACTTGTACCGTAAGCAAAATGCCTCATCATTTGGGATTTAATTCTAGAAATAAGGTAGCAACTACACATATCCTAAGCAATGCTTTTATAAAACTGAGAGAAAAGGACACTGAAGAGACTCATCAGCTGCACTCAAAATCGGGAACAGAAGGAGGATGTGCTGATAGGCCAATGACACACAGATGTATCTTCTTCATTCTTCAGGACAGTCTAACCATTTCCCAACTAACTGTCTCCATTTCCTGTTTTATCTAGGGGTGTTAAAAAAAAAAAAAAAACAAAAAAACTGGGGGACAGACAGAGGCAGCTCCCGGGGGTGGAGAGCTTGCTGACAGCCTTCTCTCCTTACTGAGAAGCACCGAGGCAGCAAGGACTGTCCACCCCAAAGACGCAGAGTCAGTGCTAATGGTAAGCTGTTAGCCAGTTGGCAGGCTGGTTTTTACCAGACACTGATTTGCACACACAACTCGAGAAAGTCTCTCAGGCATACCTTCGCAGAAACTTCTGCACTGATCTCCTCTTGGGTCTCTGCCAGCCGCTTCTTGGCAAGCTCAGTTCTCCGATCACACTCAGCAATAAAGGACTCCAAGTGATCCATCGCCTAGCTCAGGAGAAGCAGAGAGCTATGATCAGTTAAGGGTAAGGTCTTGGAACCCATCAATTCAATAGGACATACACTCCTGGGTTGGTTTCTTAAAGCCTGTAAGTTCAGTGGGAAGATCTTCAACTACACTACAGCTAGCACATCCATAATCACATTTAACCAAGGGGCTTTGTTAAACCAAGTGATCATTCAGAAGCATGGTCTTCTCATCTGATCTATTTATTCCTAAAAGTTGTAAAAGGACCCCCATCCCTCGATAATATTTCCCGGATTTTTTTTGGCCATAATTAGTAGCGTTCTCTGTGGGGAAGCAAATGCTGGACTGAGACTAGTATCGGAGGCCCTCTTCTGGTGAGCTGTGGGGGGTGCGGATCATGTACTCACTGGTCTGTGTGAGCCACGTAAATATTATTCCCCCATGTTCTGAGGGTAGAGATCCCCCTTCCACCTCAAAACAAAACAACAGAACAAATATTACTGAGAGTTGTGAGCACAGGTCGTTATTGCCTGTCTAAAGTAGCAGGAGAACTGGTAACTACTTCCCCAAAGAGATAAAGGGAAAGAAACTCTAGAAATCTACCTGCTCACTCTGAAGACTTATGGGGGAAACACGAGAACACTAATGAGCTGCTTCACATGTGTTAGGCAGTTAATTTGCCAGGACCAGTCAAAGGCCCCAGCATAACCTCAGATAGACCTACAACTAGGATATCTGCCAGGCTATGACCGGTGACTGGCAAGCAGCACCTCCTAAGTTACACCCGTTAGTGCACTTGCAAAGGTTGGCATTGTGTTAAGTGTGACAGCAAGGGAATTTAGCACAGGATGACAGGACTGCATCATGTGATCTATCACCAAAAAATACAGAAGAAAAAACTTTGGGTGGAGATGATATAAAGCAGATGAAGGTTACGCCAACAGACCAAGTGGTGATAATCTATGTCCCTCCGCCCAAAGATGGCCAGAGAGAGCAAATCAGCTGTTAAGAAAGCACTCTACGAGGATCAGTGTGACACTGGAATGGACGACAGGGTTAGGGTCTCCTCCAGAAATCTTAAATACTCTTTTCAAATAAATGCATACTTGGACATAAGTCAAGACAGAGAATAGGCTCTCTGACAGTGCCAAGCCCCACAGGGTGCTGGAGAAAGGCTAAAGCATAATCACCCACTGAGGACAACTCCCAATTTCACTCCATAATTTTGGAATTCAGGACCTCTTTCCTGTTGTTGGACATCCAAATATTCCCTGATAAACATTTCTCACTATGTTCAAATCCATCAGGAAAGCAAATGATCAGCATTTGTCTGCATGCACCATACTTCCTGGAAAGACAGAGTTGACAATCCTGCTGACAGTGATAACTAACCAAGATCAAGGTGCCGGCAAGCTGATACAGGTCACATGCCTCCTGTGAGGGACAATGGATCCTAGAAGACCACCCTTATATGCCCCAGGTTCACCCACACAGAGGTACTAAGTCTATGGTGCAGTGTCCTTCTGTTATCTACCCAAACAGAGTGATTTCACACCTGAGACAGACCCACGAATCCACTCATCAGGGTTGAAGACAAGTGGGTGACATGGGACACCTTGACTAATTAAAGCAACCAGCGGCAGCTTCAGCAGAACCCAAATCAACTACAGACTCAGACATCTGATAGGCTAAAAACTAAACGGTAACTTCACAACACAGAATAGGCAGACCACAGAGACATCTTTTAACTGCCACATTCTTTAAAAGATGGCACTCTGGAGGTGTCTGGGTGAAGCGTCTGCCTTTGGCTCAGGTCATGATCCGAGGGTCCTGGGATCAAGTCCCTCATCGGGCTCCCTGCTCAGTGGGGAGCCTGCTTCTCCCTCTCCCTCGCTCATGCTCTCTCTCTCAAATAATAAAAAAAAAAAATCTTAAAAAAGATGGCACTCTGTTCTACTGCCCCTTCTCCTGTTCAATGTGCTTGTCAATTTCAGATCGAGTCTTAAAATATATCAAAGAGGAGAGGTTTAAATAATTTTTTTTTTTAAAGGTATTCAAGTCGGGGTGCCTGGGTGGCTCAGTGAGTTATACATCTGCCTTCGGCTCAGGTCATGATCCCGGGGTCCTGGGATCGAGCTCCGCACTGGGGCCCCCTGCTCAGTGGGGAGCCTGCTTCTCCCTCTCCCTCTGCACCCCCCACCCCTGCTCATGCTTTAAAATCTAAAAAAAAAAAAAAAGAGTATTCAAGTCTAAAAATTAAGTCCTAATCACAACCTACTGTTTACTAGAAAGTCACCCAAGCTCTACAACTTAAGGGTGGTACGATGAAACATGGACGATTGGGGATGCCTGAACACAGCGCCGGCACACAGTAAGCACGTGAGTCTCACTGCTGCTGGAGGCTGTTCGTCCACACTCAGGATTGTGTGATGCTATTCCCAGTGTTGCCAGCCCAGCAGAAATGACACTGGCCAGAAATCAGTGAGGCTGAGATGGGCTGTCAAGGAGACTGGTCATGGTGCACATGTGTCCCTGTGCTGTGCTGCACGTCCACACGGAAACTGGAAGGTCTCCATTTCCCAGATGAAGAAACTGAGGTACGGTTTCCACACTACTAAGTGATGGCATCAGGGTACAAGCACCCTTATGGTTTGGCTCCAAAATCCCTACACTCAATGTGCACAACTCTGAGGCAGTCACCACCAGCCCAGTTCATAGATGTACAGAAAAAGTTAAAATAACTTGCCCAAGGTCACAAAGGGGTTCTAACCCAGAACATCATCTGACTTAGTCAATGTAACTATTATAACATATATCTGTAGACAGAAAAAGTAGGTGTAATCAGAACTAGTTTCATTTGATATATTAAAGATAGTCTGGAAATTAGTTGATATAATGTGTAGTTTCAGAAACCTGTAAATAAAACATCACAAACCAAGACAATTTGGGGAAAAAGTTAATTGTATTTTTACTGAGTTAAAAAGAATCAGTTCTATATTTTCAGTATGTGGACACTAAAGAAATTGTACTGCTCTGTAACTTTTTCACAGCTTAAATTAACGTGTTAATATTGCTATTTGTTTGCCAGTGTTCAAGCTGAGAAACTTGAAATGTTATTTATACAGATTACCTAGTAGCAGACATTACATACTCTTTCCTAGGGAATTTCTGGATAAAACACTTTCAGGAAGCCAAGGCCAGGCCTTGGCATGGTCACGCTGAGGCTGTGTTAAGCTAGAAGGAGCCAATGGTGAGGACAGGGAGGCACCTTCTCCCACATAAAACACCAGTGGTTCCACCCACCAAGCTCAAGCCGAGGGTCTAGGCAGGCAATACCTCCACAAAGAAATACCTTTCTATAACTCTGACGGGCAAAGACCCCAAAATATGGTTACTCACTGTTAGCAAAGATGTGAAGATGGGAACTCTTCTACACTGCTGGTGGGAGCATTCGCTCCGCTGGATAACACCATGGTATCATCAAAACCCCAGATACCCCTCTGATCCAACAGTTCTGCATCTAGGAATCTCCCCTGCATACATGCAAACAATGCATACATGCAAACAAGGGCAATGTGTAATGTAGCACCATGATCATCAACAGGAGACTGGTCATATAAAGAAGATATCCATCGTCTGGAATGCTGTGCAGCCACAAAAAGGAATAAGGAACTCTACACAAAGATATACTAAAACGTTAAACAAAAAAAGGAAGGGTGAGGTTAGAATAGGTGTATAAATTACCACTCGTGTAAAAGAAAAAACAGGAATATAGACATTCTGTCTGCCTCAGGTATCCACATAAACTCTAAAGCACACAGAAGACACTGGGTAGTTCTAGAGGCAACCAGATGACTGAAGAACAGAGCAGGAGAGAGGTTTCACATGTACCTTCTTTACTGGTAAATTCTGATCCAAGTGAAAGTTATACATGTTTTTACGTTAGTAAGAGATGCTGTAACCTCAGTGAAATAACTCATCTAGGCAACAATCCTCAAGCGCTGCTTAAAGCATCAGGTCAAAGGCTGAAGGGGACCTTGACCATCAACAGGTCAAGGCTGCCTTCAACAACGGTGCCGGCTGAGGTGATACACGAGCAGGTGCAAAGCTCTGCCTCTGAAATGTTCCCATCACAAGAGAAAAACTTAAATCTGATGATCAAGCCTCCAGATCTAACTCCTAAGAATTTCAAAGACAAGGGGAATCATGTTAAAGAAGACATCATGAGGCTATAATCAGCAAAATCCAGGGTATGAGACTTTTAAAAAAATTAATTACTTCAAATACATTTAAAAAGATTTACAAAGCATTCTAATGTGTAGCCCTTATTTTGAATCCTGAGTCAGAGAAATAAAACTATAAAAGAATCCTTTCTGAAGTCATCTGGGAAATTTGAACTCTATCAGATGCTAGGAAATTACTTTTAAAGATGACTGTTTTTAGTAAAGTCCTCAAATTCTACATGTACTATTTACAGTATTTACAGATGAAATTCTATCTTGTAGCTATAAAAAGTAATCGGGGCAGGGGGACACGTGCCTGCTTGGCTCAGTTAGAGGAGCGTGTGACTCTTGATCTCAGGGTTGTGGGTTCGAGCCCCATGTTGGGTGTAGATACTACTTAAAAAATATAATTTTTTTAAAGATCTTATTTACTTGAGAGAGAGAGAAATCGAGTGCAAGCTGAGGGGAGGGGCACAGGGAAAAGGAGAAGCAAAGTCCCTGCTGAGCAGGGAGTCGGACATGGGGCTCCATCCTAGGACTTGGAGATCATAACCTGAGCCGAAGACAGATGCTTAACTGACTGAGCCAACCAGGTGCCCGCCAAAAATATAATCTTAAGGGGCGCCTGAGACGCTCAATTGAGCGTCCGCCTTTGGCTCAGGTCCTGATCCCAGAGTCCTGGGATCGAGCCCCGCACCAGGCTCCTTGATCAGCAGGGAGTCTGCTTCTCCTTCTCCCTGTCTCCCAGCTCTCACTCTGTATCTCAAATAAAGAAAATCTTAAAAAAAAGGAAGAAA